AAAGGGCACGTTTCGAATGCAAGCGGATATAAAAGCGTAGCAAAAGGGCGATCACCGCACTGATGCTGAATGTCAAGCAGATCGCGATCACTCGCGCCACATGGCTGTGGGCATCCGGGTGGGCAAGATTATGGACCCAACCCATGGCATTCCGCAGTTGATCGTAGAAACTGGGAAGACATGAAAACAGAAATTATTCTGCCCAACACACACGGTGCAGGGTGAGATCCCCCAACCCTAGATACCAAGCATCTTCAGGTGAGATTTTAATTAATCACACTTCTGCAGGCATAATCCCTGTCAGCCATATGGATGAGCCGAGGAAATTGCGAGAACTTGGCGATTACGCGATGGATCGAATCCTGGCAAGCGAAATGAAGCTAAATGTAAGACATCGCCGGACAGGAAACCGTGCCAGAAACCGTCGCCGCCACACAGACACTAACGACCCGCTGTGGAGATGCCCTAAGCGTCCGCCAGGAACGGGGGAATCGCGCCGCGTAGACCCCAAGCGGGGCAAACCCTGTCCGGTCAATAAGCGGAGAGACTAAAAGCCTGGGCCAATATCGATCAGCTCGCATGATAGGACGATGAAGATGGTGGAGGAGCTTGTATATTTCGAGGACCTTGGCCGAGACCGTTGGAAACTAGATCCAAGCGGCGCGGTGGTTTGAGCAAATAAAATGCCATGCAGCTGACCATGTGGGCGAACAGGAAGAATAGCGTCGAAGTTGCCATGAAACTTCTCTGCCTAAACGTGTGCAGACTGCACGAAACGTGTTCTCCGGACCCAACAGGGATCATGCAATGTAATTAATATCTTCACGAGCAACGGAAATGACTAGGCCCACTTCACTTGCTGTAAGTGCAATTGTAGGAGCCGACAGATGCCGGTAGTGGCATAGGAGTTTCAGCAATATCGACAGGGATATAAATCGGCCATCCCCGGTCACTTCGGATGGATTCCCGAGCATAGCTTGTTATCCCTCAATCATGTTGGCATCATCCCTCTGGACTAGCTTGCTGGCCCTCACGGCCTCAGCCTCAGCTTCGGCCATTAGCAGCAACTCTTCCAACTGCCGCTGCTTCCCTGGAGATGCCTGCTGGCCCTCCCAGAGCGAATGGGCGCAGTTCAACAAAACTGTTGACGGTCGCCTCATCAAGACCATTCCCTTGGGCAAGCCATGCCACTCTCCCTACTATAATGCCTCAGTCTGTACCTCACTAAAGGAACAATGGACAGAGCCTGAGCTTCAGTAAGGTTCATTTCCCAATGTCACATCCCCTTTGCTAATATCTTCGCCCACTAGCTACACCTCTAGCAGCTCTGTCATGGCCCCATGGTTCGCCAATGGCAGCTGTGACCCCTTCCACCCGATTGACAAGCCCTGCACGATGGGCAACTACATCGATTACGCCGTAAACGTCTCCACTCCTGCGCATATCTCGGCCACCCTCCGCTTTGCCGACACCCACAATATCCGGCTGGTGATCCGCAACACCGCCCACGACTACAATGGCAAGTCCACTGGTGCAGGTGGTCTGGGCGTATGGACACACAACCTGAAGTCCAGGACTCTGATCAGTAACTACACGGACTCGCACTACACTGGCGCTGCTGTGCGGCTGGGCGCAGGTGTGCAGGGATTTGAGGCATACGAGTTCGCTGATGCCCACGGCTACCAGATCGTAGGCGGAGAGTGCTCCTCAGTGGGTATTGCTGGTGGATACTCCCAGGGTGGTGGACACTCTGCGCTCTCGTCGCGCTACGGACTGGCAGCTGACCAGGTCCTCGCCTGGGAGGTTGTTACCGGTACTGGCGAGTTTGTGACTGCTACCCGTGATAATGAGTACAAGGATCTCTACTGGGCCCTCAGTGGTGGTGGCGGTGGTACTTATGGTGTTGTTGTGGCCATGACTTCCAAGCTTCACACATCTACCCCTACTTCCGGTCTGAGCCTGACCTTCACCAACTCCAACATCACTCAGGATACCTTCTTCGAGGCTGTCACTCTGTACCACACCCTTCTTCCTAGCATTGTTGATGCTGGCGTCATGAGTGTATGGTACTTCACCAACACCTCCTTCTACATCTCTCCTCTCACTGGACCGGGTGTCCCTGTTGCCACCCTCCGCTCGTTGGTCGCGCCCTTCGAAGCTGGTCTCACCAAGCTTGGCATCAACTACACTCTTGAAGCCAAGATGTTCGATACTTACCTCGAGGAGTTCAACACAATGGAGGCCGAGATCGCCGTCGGCAAGGCCCAGTATGGCGGTTGGTTGATCCCCCGCGAGGTTGTGGTGCAGAACACCACGGCCTTGACGGACGCGTACCGCCAGATCGTGTCTGACGGAGCCACCTTCATCGGAGTCGGCTTGAACGTCAACCGCTCAATTGCAGGTGATGTCGACAACGCTGTCCTGCCTGCCTGGCGTGAGGCCCTCATTGATACCACTCTTACGACTCCCTGGGAGTGGGATGCCCGCGCCGAAATGATCGTCGAACAGGACAAGATGACCTACGACTACATCCCTCTGCTCGAGGCTCTGGCTCCTAACTCTGGAGCGTACATGAACGAGGGCAACTTCCAGCAGCCTAACTGGAAGAAGGCCTTCTATGGAGTCAACTATGACCGCTTGTTGCAGGTCAAGAACAAGTATGATCCCAACGGACTGTTCTATGCTCTTAAGGCGGTCGGCTCGGATGCTTGGACCCAGTTGGAGGATGGTCGGTTGTGCCGCGCCTAAAAGTTGTTGCATTTGAGTGTATAATAGATTGTATATAAAGATGTGTTGAGGCTGTTTTGAAGGCATGTTATATGTATATAGCTAGAGTCGAAAAGTGTTTTGTATTTCTTCATTCTTGCCTCCATATTATAAGATAAGAATCTTAGTTCTGAACTCCGAGCATAGACGCTATATCGGATGCAACAGGATCCATACCTAGCCCTTGCAATATGTCCGTGGATGATGTCCGATCATAGTTAGGCAGGATCTGTCTTACCGCGCCATAATCTCCCCATGTCTCAACGTTATCTCCAACAAGCTTTGCCCATACTAGTGCTGATGTTATCCCTGCAATAAATACTATAATTGTGAAAGGATATTGCGTGCTTATGTCTCCACTTTACATGGCGCCTCTAGTGGGTTTTGCACATTATGGCTTGATCTATGCTGGAATTCCGGCGGATTATTGCTAGGATTCACTGATCAGCTATCAGTATCATGCCTACAGGATACGAAAACCTCCGAACCCCTCCACGATATATCTCAGCTTGTATAAGGGTGAGTTACTGCATCAGCAAATCATAATTATTGTCATGACAGGATACGTGATTATGATGTTCGGCATCGCAGGATGACACTGGGGAGCAATGCTACAGGATAAATGCCCAAGGGTATTAAAGCAATTTAACTGGAGGACTCAACAGAGGAATTTATTCATTCTCGTAGTTACCAAATCTGGACCATATTCCAAGACACCACTCAATCTGCTGCTAACGCCCACAGTCTCAAACAGCAATCCCCCTCAAGTCTCGCGAATAACATGCGCACATCTTTCCCCCACATCCAACAAACGACCTACTCATCTACCACTGATAGCAATACTGGTCCCAATCAGGATACCAACCCGTCCCATAATAAACCCAAGCATTCGAATCCAACACCGCCACATGACCACCCCAATACTGGCTCTCATTCAACTGAAACACCGCCCACCAGCCCGTATTCCTTTGCACACTTCGACTACTCACCTGAGCCTTGGACTGAAACCAGCTCCACATATCGCGGGCACGAATCGGCCGACGAGCAGTAGTCTGACACCGCGCGTTGATGTGCTGGTTTGGTTGACTCAGTTCGGTGTAGCCGGCGCGGATAAATGCGTCGGAGAGGTAGTGTGCGCAGTTGTTGGATTGCACGTCGCCGCCGGCGCAGCTGTTATTCCAGTATGCGGCGATGGAAGAGATCGGTGGGGTGGTGGCTAGGGCATGGGGTGCGAATTCGAGGATGGTGGGGATGGATTGGGCGGGAGTGGGCATGTCGGGGAGGGTTATGGGGGGTGGTGGAGGAGAGGTCGTCTCCATGACTTTACTGAGGGGTTGGGCGTAGTCTGTCATGGTGCGAAGATTATATTGCTGGGTGATGTGTGTGTAGGTTAGAAGTTAAATAGGAAGTAATGCTGTCTCCGCTATCATAATCAGTTCTAGTTGTTGGACATTTGTTGGGTTGATGACCGCTATTATATATTCGTAGCAGGGTGCGCGAAAACTTGTGTGTGCGATGCTCACAACCATTTCTTCCACCTTATTACTGCACCATATCGCAGGCTACAATTCAGAATCTAGGATGATTTAGAATACGAAGTATGGCATAGTGCAAGCTACATCATTGGAGTGCTATACGAAGTCAAGCAAAGTTCAAGTTGTTGCTATCGATACGATAACCTTAATTACGAACGCCGGATCCGATCAACATTATTGGAACATATTTCAATGGATAAGGCTAACCTTTTAAGCATATTTGGGATAATTACGAAGCTAGCAGTCCAGATGTGGTCCAGATGGCATGTACCAGGGTACCATAGAGCTTAATTTGTGTGGTGCTGGTGGCCTAATCTACATCGCACACCTGGACATCTTTCTGCCAAGACTTGGACTTTACGCTGATACGAGGCGAGTGCCATCTATCTACTTTGAGTCACAGTAAGTGGCAATGGCTGGAACACGACGACCTGTGAAGTGGCTGCTACCAAATATTAATCCGTCAATCCGGCCATACGATGCGTCATATCATTATTACACTGTGGATCTCATCGCAGCTGTCGTTAGGCTACACGGTTATGTAGCTGTCAAACAGAGTCTGCGCGTGACCTGGGACGCCTATAAATTTACCTTATCCATAACAGGAGGATCATTTAGGTATCTCCTCTCAACTCCCTTACAATGTGATCAAACTGTGAATGGGGACATAAGCAAGGAAGTGGCAACCTAACAACCGACATGGCTTTCACCTCAGCAGACATTGTTTCTTTGTTCAAGTCTTCTGCACCGAATGTGTCCCTCGTTGAACTTCTCCAGCAGCCAGCTAGTGCCTTGCTTGGTGTTGACAATGCTGCTACATCCTCCCTTAAAATCATAAAAGTTAATACTGTTTTTGACTTGGCAACGTCTATTGTCTTTGACAGTGCTGTAAAAATCTTTACTGCCGCAACAGACCCAAACAGCATCTTTTCTCGACATGGCAAGCCGCCAGCTGATCTGATACGCACGTCTCGGACCACAGGAAAGTCCCTGCAGGAACTTTCCTCAGAGCCAATTTCCATTCTCTCTGCAGTTCCAGAATCAAGTGCTGATACTATATCTGAGGCACTTGATGTTAGGACTGTCCGGGATCTGGCTCTCTATCCACCTTATTTAGCCGCCCTCAGAATTCTGAAGTATTTGTACTTTCCAGAGACAGATGAGGGATTCGACCCCGAAAGACCAGCAGACCTCATTCCTAAGTCTGGCGAATACCCGATTGAGAAGGTTCAGTATTCCACCCTGCACATCGGCGAGATCAAGAAAAACCCTAGCGACAAATTCATAGACGTGTCAGGGCCTGAGTTTAAACCGCCGGGCTTGGACGATGTCATCGACAATGAGCGCACCGGATTCAAGGTAGTAGCCACAGGTGCCCTTCTGACGTTTAGTCAGTCATGGTTTGTCCAAGGAACCACATTGGGGCACCTGCTGCACTCGGTGACCCTTGCTCCGGGTGAAAGCACGCGAGTGGCCCTCATTGACTGGAGTCGCAGGGAACGGGGGACAAATACCGAGGCTATATCAGAGAAAGACGATCTTGTCAACGACGTGTGAGTACCTTGCCACAACCGCATAGCCGAAAACTGACGTGATGTTTGAAGTAATCATGCTCGCGCTGTGGCCGAAGTAACGAGGGGAGTAGCTGAAGAAGCTCAGGGCGGGTTCTCCAAAACTAATTCAGACGCCGCCACAATCTCTCTTGGCCTTTCTGGGTCGGAAGATAGGAATGGAGGGCTTATGGGCGCTATATATGGTGGGATAAGCTCCACAACAGCTGGTTCCCTGGGCATTTCGGGATCAGCAGCATACTCGGAGTCGTATTCTACAACATGGGGAAACAGAAACGTCTCTGCACAGACCCTGCAGAATATTAATGAACGAACCCAGCAGCACGCCCACTCCAGCCGGAATAGACGTGCCTCTGTTGTCAGGGAAGTTTCACAGTCTGAGCACGAGAATGTCAGCACACGGGGTATGTCTCGCAATCCTACAAATATGGTTGAGCGACTAACAGAATTACTGCAGTAATCGCCAACTACAACCATGCGCATGCACTATCAATAAATTATTATGAAATAGTCCAAGTATTTCGCGTCGAGGTCCGGCTGGTGAAGGCTGAACAAGTCATATTTGTTCCACTGGCAATGCCTGACTTCACCAACGTCAATCTGATCCGGCGCTTTCAGATCCCACTCGCCAGAGCCGCTCTTACGCCGCAAATTCAGCAAAGTCTAATCAACATGGACAGAATTGAACTTGAGCCTGAGAAAAAGACCTCATTTACTGTCTTTGCACGGCCTCTCGGTGCTATACTTGAGGAAGCGCTGCGAACGAGGTCGAGCTTGGCAGCGGGGACTCCCATTCTGGAGAAGATGAAGTCAAGCCCCTCGACACATGCGACAGGCCGAGAAGACACCCCCCGTACAGATGCATCGGAGACAGTTCCAGGGCCACCAGCTGGTCAACCCACCGGAAGGAACACAACCCCGCTGCGGCCTGTCATTAGTGCCGCAGAACTTGCCTACCCAGCACGTATCTTGAATATCCCTGCAAGACTACACACAGCTTTACCTGTGATTTCTGAAACCAACCGCGTCCTTTGGGATCAGGATTTGGTCTCTCGCCTTTCAAGTCTTTTCAACCTCAATGTCATTCGGCCAACCAGCACTGCAATCTCCTTGCCGGCTGACACAATCATTGAAGGAGCAATTGTTGAAGGAGCTGATGGAAGCGCACCCGTCATACCTGCCTTCACCACACAGACCGGACGCGTCATCACTAGCTTCGGGCCAGGACAGGATATCGAGTCCATTAGCTTCCGCGACGTTGCAGAAATCAGTGTCCAGGGAAGTCATCCCGACCGAGACTACAATAGCATCGATGTCACACTGAGCGTCAATCGTGGTGGCATTACGGTCCCAGTAAAACTACCGTCTGTAGTCGTACCGCGGGGTGCCGCCCGGACGACAATTGTCAATGTTCGTGCTTCAGGTGTTGGGACAGAAGTAGCAAAGCATCTCATGGCAAATCGCATGTACTACGGACAAGTATTATTCCGCTCATTGGACGCGACAGACTTGGCATTTTTGCTTTCGGGGTATTCGTATAACCTAAATGGAAAGCAGGTGCCCATCACTGAAATTATCAACCCGCGGCCGGTCCGATATGTCGGTAATTATGTCGCCTTTACGACGAATATCCAGCCGGGAAAGAAGAATACAGAAAAGGGCCAATTTGATAATGTACCGGAGCAACCTCATCCCCCTAATGAGTCGCCCAATATTGAATCTGTTGATGGCTTGCACAGCGACGACTCAGAGCACAATGAATCCACAGAGCCCTCGGAGACCGCAGATAATAAGCCCAATCACTCTGAAGAGGTTGAAGCTGAACGCAAAGCCGATATTCCCGGCCTTTCAACAGTAGGACCGGACCCTGATCCCCAGTGGACGGAATTTTTGGAGACTCACAATATCCAAGTTGGACAGTCAACGAACGATATAGTCCCACTCGGCACAGGAGGGGTGTTTGCGGAGGCTGTCTTGGGTCGGTCAAACTGTGCTGAGAAGCTCGACATCACGAGATTCTGGGATTGGAAGGTACGTTAGGCAAGGAATCCAAAGCGTTGAAGGCATACCGGCTAACAAGAAACAAGGATTCCCAAATCCCTCTAACGGCAACGGAGATCGCAGCCGTTCAGACTAACTCTCGCGCATCTCAACCCGACCTCAAACCTGGCGAGTTGTCTACTTCTCTAATCAGTCAACAAGCACCATCAGCTCTCCCAGATCCAACAGGCACTGCAGCCCTCCTAACAGCATTGCAAAATGGAGCTATGTTCCGTGACCAGAGCGGTCTGGCTGCCACGATTGGTCTGACTCAGGCAGCGCTGCAGGCAACCCAATCAGGAGCAGCGAGTGCAGGCCAAGCAGCAAGTCAGAATCTGCAATCTCAGCTCCAAGCGACCACAGAGCGACAGAAGACGGCTGCAAATATGATTACAGATCTTGCTAGAACTGCTGCTTCTGCCTACACTGGTATACCGCTCGCTGCATCCGCCTCGTCCAATGGCGGACCATCAGCAAATTCTAGTAAAGGTGCTTTGATCAATTATTTCGATAAGACAAAAGAAGGCTCTCCAGGTGCTACGGAGAATAAGCCCGCCGCGGGACCACAGCCTGGCCCCGCCCCTGCCCCTGCTCCTGCTCCTGGTGGCCCTAGTCCCTCTGGCGCTGGTCCCGGCGCGGCTGGACACTCCCCTCCTAGTAATAGAAGTGGCCCTGGCCCAAGTGCAGCAGGCTTTTCACAAAATCCAGCAGCGCGAAGCGCCATTGGCAGGGACACCACACTTTCGGATGTCATCTCTAAGGCAACAGACATGGCAGACAGAATAGCTGGGACAAGTACCAACTTGCAAGAAGAAGATAGTAGTGGACTGCTCACAACCCGACGCGCATGGCCAAGACTGGATCCAGACGAGGTATTACCGCGAATCAGCAAGCTCAGCGAAAAGCCTGGTGAATTCAACCAGGGCACAGTACCCCTATGCACACCTGGGATGTTCTTCTACCACCTCTTCAAGCTCAAGCCGACCGAGACAGCGCAATTTGCCAAAGACTTATACGGACTTGGACAAGCGACGTTGGGAGGACTTCGGGTGCGGCCAAGCGATGACTTACGCAGAACAAACTATGTGGATATAGTTTCGAGGAACATAGCGCTCGAGCTGGTTCCGCCGGAGACAGACTGGATGATGATGTGTAGTCTTCGCGACAGCCGGGATTGGTTTATCGACTATGAAGGTGCATCGGACGAGTCTGGAACCGTGGCTCTGGACACGGCAGCATCTGAGTTGGAGACCTGGTATAATGCAACGGGGTTCTTCACGAATGTTACTTGGAATCCGTACTATGAGGCGGGCCCGCCTATTGACACTCTGCGAAATTTGGATGTATCGTCTACCAAGAGTGTTGCTCTGTTGGTTGATTCAAGAGTACTGGGAAGCGGCGACGTGAAGGGCACGACGCATATCATTGGCCTTACCAGTAAGCCTCAAATCAATGCGACAGACAATTCGATCAAGTTCGAGTACTGGACCTGGGGAAAGCCGGCAAGAGTGATGGACGGTAAATTGGATTTAATCCAAGGGTGTATCAAGGGTGTTTTTGTTGCCACTGTTTGAGGGATGTCAAAAGTCGCATTCGTACCTCGTGATGTTCGCGCAGCAAGCACAACCTATATTCGAATCAGCGCCTTCTCGGCCTTCAGCTCTGCCGTTGAAGTCGCCGTATCAAATGCCACGCGAGCCCTGGATAAACCGGACGTCCCGCTTCTTATCAGTTCGATCAAAGTCGCAATAAATATTGTCCTTGATCTCCTTCTTATATCTACGTTTCATGTCGGCAACCGGAAACCGGATATCGACATCCAGGCCGAAATCCGCCTAACTTGCGACACGGCTGCGGCGATTCCCGGTCTCTTATATTTCTTGTTTACCGTCAGCTTCAGGTGAAGTGCCGATGCACCGACGCTGCAAGGGTTTCTTATTCTCCTTAAACCGGGATCTATCACGTTTATCGAGTCTGCTCTGCGGAATGCACTCTATTTCTGGCTAGTGAGCGGTGTCGTTTCCATGTCAGCGGACTATGCGACGGCGTGGGGCGTGTTTAGCACGATTCGATGGGGTTTAATTATGGTACCCGTCCAGGCAGCCGAGGCTACGACGCTCACGTTTGTGGGACATGCCTGGGGGCCTGCTCAAGCAGAGACCCTACCTCCCAAGATGGTCGTGGACTAGTTTGTGCGGTATGATCTAACTTCGTCCGATATAGTTCTGGGGCGCTCACGTCTGCAGTGGTTGTACGGCCAGTCCTTCTCTCCGCCGCTATAATTCTCGCGATCGAGATCCCCTTGCTAATCTTCATGTCTCTATACGGATGTGAGTCTTTCGCGTTGTGGCTTAGCAACCCTGCACATGTCTCGAACATTGTCGGTCACATGTGGCGCACTATAGATTGGTGCGTCCGTCTTTTTCCCTTTTACTTACGGATTATTGAACCCCTAACGTCGTTGAGTAGGTGCTATATTCTTTACGGCTTATCAATCCAATTTGTTGCAATACTTCTTGCAACTCGCACATCATGGTATCTCGCGCAGTCCTTGATCTCCAACATGCTCTATGTGCTTCCGTGGGCTATCGTGTGTCAGGTCGTTCATCTCAACCCGGAAAATGCGTGGACATATCACAACCTGGTATTTGGGGGTAACCCAGTGTTCTCCTTTGTCGAGATCTTGGTCGTCCTTTCATTTTGGGCGTGGGGGCTACTTAAGGGGAAGTTAAGGCTCGATGCAGTTTGATCCCCCGCTTCACACAGAAGAGAGAGAGGGCTATCGTACCAGCTTTTTTGGAGGGCAGTGGAACAGGCCTGTTAAGCTTACCTGCTAATTGTAGGTTGTATGCTTCATTGAGCCTGCGGCTTCTAGCCATCGTCGATAATGAAGCCATCGCCTGCCTTGCTAATGCTTGATATGGCATAGGGTGGTCCCTTGAGATGATGGAGACGGGCCGATAAGATCCCCATCTGTCGCGTCAACCCCCACTGGCCACCTCAAGGAAAATGTACCTTTGAGGTGTGAACCCCATAGAACACGGTGCGCGCTACAACTTATCGAGTGACAAATATCCGACAGACCCAAATGCTCGTCTCTATTCTAGGAATTTGTGCCTCTGAAAGCTAACAGGATGCCGTCTTCATAGTCTCTCCTACAAGCTTGCCATATAAATCAAAGTAACCATCATGAGGAGACTATCATACAAGCCACTACATAATTACGTATTGCCGGAATCAGTATTCTGCCCCTGCTCGATGAATTTCAAGAGCCGCGGGGTTGTATTCTCATCAAGGAGTTCGAGATAACGCTCTGTGTAGGTCCTGTCAGCGTGCAACCAACGACAGCACGGAGCTTCTTGCTCAACTTACCACAACATAGCCACCTCTCGCTGACTGTGCGTAGAAATCCTCTAAAGATCCGCAACATCCTCAGATTGTCTTGACATGTATTCTCAACCAACAGCCTTTGTGTCACGAGTGCCGCGGCGCGATAGATCATGAGCATGGTAAACGGAGAAAGACGGTCAAAGTCTGCTATTGTGGTGCCGTTGACAAAGGGATCCAGTGTGGCGGCTAACGTCGCCAGGAGGTCGTTCAGAGACATCGTACCGATGGTATTACACGTCGTAATGATTTCATCAATGAAGGTGAGTTTACTGGCATTTTCGTATGCGAGAAAGAGTCCACTATACTGGTCTCAGATTGCGACAGACAAGCGCGTGCCTTGCCACTGGGAAGAATCTGCGAGACAAGAGGGAAAAGATTGACTTACGTATTGCAGAGACTCAATGCACCGGAATATACCTCGTCCGTATACCCAATGTCCTTGGTGACTATTGCCTGGAGATTGCTGGCGGTCTCCAGTAGTAGCATTATGTGTTGTGCGTCGGCAGCGCTATCTCCGGTGGGGTTGTTGAGCGCAGTATGCATTTTATCCAGGATATCAGCGGCCCCATAGAGCCTCGAGACTTTATAGAAAGCACTGGTGTGATCCTCATCGTAGAGACTGGGGCAGATTAGTTTTCTAAGACCATCGTGGATGTCGGGGGTGACTGAGCCGGTAAGCGAAAGTCGCGAGCCGGATTCGATTGCTATGTATCTGCAAGGGTCAGCGGAGGATAGTTTAAAGCCTTCATGGTTGGATGACTGACCTGTCAAGTGTATAGATGCCACACCAGATAAAGGCCACTTCTGGTGTCGGTGTTCCATTATTTGAAGGGTCTGGCGATGATAGATATCTAGAATGAATGTTGAGTGCATCGGTGGCTCTGGCTGTGGCTCCGACGGAGATGTAAGCCGCTGGGTATAGCCCATGTACGACTTCGAACAACGTTATCAGCGTTCTCGCTTGGACAAGCTCGAGGGAGTGGATTCCGAGTCCCTCGATTAATGATGTCCAGCTCTTTGCCCATAAATACAACGACTTGCATTTGCTCCCTTCGGAGAGTGGCGGTCTGGTATCCAGCATCACGATGCAGAAAGATAGCATCGCAAAGCTGAGGGAGGCATCATGCCATGACGATGGGAGCTGCCTTTGTGCCAAGTGAGAGAGGAAAGGAAACCAAGGATTGATTGATCGGATGTATCGGGCAAGAACGCTGTCCGGCGTGGCAGAATCGAGCCTTTCGATGATGGCATGTTTGATCTGCGCCGGTGTCAACGGCTCCCAGCCGAAATGTGTCGTCTCAGAAGCAGGTGATGGTGTGTTTTCGGGGGTGTTGAGCTCCACTGTATCATACGTGCATGATTTGTGGAGTCTGGGAGTGTATTAGCACAGATGCTGCGATACCTTAGGGGGGTACGTGGATGTCACCACCTCTGGCAGAGTCCGCACTCTGGAAGAGCCCTGTCGCATCGCCTTTTTTGGCGCCGACATCGGGTACACGCTTTCTTCGCAATGATTCCACGATCAGACGAGCTCATTCTAATTTTCTCTGCTCGAATCACGGCACAAATGCCAGGTATCGCGCGATAGAGAGGTGTAGAAGAGAGCGTCCGCTGCGTGCGGAGGCCAGCGGAAGAGGCGAGGGGGAGTGCGGAGATGCGGAGAGCGGTGCGGACTTTTCTTGCGGAAGTCCGCATCGGGGATCCGCAGGCCATGCCGACAACCACTTTTGCCCGAGATGATAGAAAGGCATAAATAGAGGCTGTTTCCTGGTCAAATGTGACTCTTCTGTACCATCAATTCTTTCTCACGTATCAAATCTATCTAATTGTCAAAGCTCTCTCTCCAAAAGCACAATGCCGGAAATCAAAACCGTCGCGATAGCCGGAGTAAGAAATCCCGACCAAACACAACAAGTGTATAGGGTACTAACGCCTTCCTAGGCATCGGGTACTCTCGGGCCTCATGTTCTCAAAGCACTCTTCGATGCCGGCTTTCATGTCACTGTACTCGCACGTGCGAAGAAATCCTATGATTCGAACGTCAAAGTCCTCGAAGTCGACTATACCTCCCACAGCTCCTTAACCGCTGCGCTCCAAGGTATCGATGCCGTCGTCTCAACCGTCAGCGCCGAAGCAATCGAGGGCCAAACTATTTTAATTGATGCCGCCATCACGGCCGGGGTGAAGCGCTTCATTCCGTCTGACTTTGGCACGGTTACCACCAACCCCAAAGTCGAGGGTTATCCGTTGTATAGTTCCATGGCCAAGATCCAGAAGTATCTCCGGGAAAAGAGCGCGGGCGGCGATATCACTTGGACGGTCCTCGCATGCGGCGCGTTTTTGGACTTCCTCTTGACCACTTCGGTTTTCCTGGACTTTGCGAAGCACACTGTCACTCTGCTGGATGATGGCGATAACAGGCTCAGCACAACCTCATTGTCAACGGTTGGAAAGGCCGTGGCTGCAATCCTGACGAACTTCGAGGCTACAAAGAATAGGGCTGTTTTCACGTCCGAGGCAATCGTGACTCAGAATGGGTGGTTGAGATATGCAAAGGAACTCAAGCCTGGAACTGAGTGGGATGTGACCAAGGAGCAAACAAGTGCGGTTTTGGCAGAAAGCCTGGAGCAGCTTGCTGCGGGTGACCATACCATGCCAGTTATCTTGAAGCTCCTTAGAGGGACTGCTCTGGCCGGCGACGCCTACGGCGGCGCGTATGACGTGAATGACAATGAGTTACTGGGGGTGAAGGAGTTGACTTCCGACCAGATCAAGAAATTGATTGTTGAGAAGATCTAGGAGGACTATTGGAGATTTAGGTGATAGCTAGGCTGAATCCATACATGTTTCTAGAGGGAAAAAAGCTTGAGTACTACTCAGAACCTAGCAAGAGACCGTGCGTACCCATGCTCCAACTCCTTCAACATACCCTCGACATCAAAGTACCAGATCTTGTGCGACCTGCGGGTGATTTCTTCATGGCCTTTGGTCATATCCTGGCCACAGGCCGGATCGATCCACTCGTAAATATCGCATGCTTCGCGACTACTACGAACAAGCCAATGAGATCGCCCATAACCCACATCACTGAAGACGGAGAAGGCTGTCTCTAGTAGAGCCCATCGATCGCTCCGGCCGTGAGCTATGCGGTCCTTCTGAACCCGGTCCAAGAGTTCACATAGAGCGAGGGCATCTTCAATCCCGATCCCTGCACCTGCACCATGGTGCGGAGAAGAAGCGTGGGCAGCATCACCCGCGATACAGATTCTCTCACGGGAATAGGAAGGGGCCGGATGGTCCATCGCATCGAACACGGCCCATTTGTCCAATTCCGACGTCAAAAGGTCGATGATCGACCTCACTGTCGGGCCCCAGTCTGAAAACACGACCGCAACTTCGTCCTTTGTCGCAGGCTCCGACATTGGCTGTCCGAGCGGCCAGTCTGTAGGATCATTGACAAACGCAACGATATTGAGCAGTTTTTGCTTCGCGACGGGGAAATGGAGAACGTGCGCCTTCGGGCCACCATACATGTGCTGATTGCAAGTCGGTATCAATGAAGCAGTGTTAACTTGATTTGTATCGAACGACATAGTTATTATTTTCACATGATTATGTCCATAGTACAGATTGCCCTTGGGGGGAGCATGAATCCAATCACAGCTCAAGTCCTTGGGAATATCTTCTACTCCTGCAAGCGCCAACTCTTCCATCAACTCATCCATAACTGCTTAGCAATCTTCTCCCCCTTCGGCGCATTCAAAACAGGTGCACACCTAAGAAGCCAGTCCTGCACAGTGAACTTGCGCAGCAATCTGCCCACCCTCGCTATCTGAGATTCCATGCACCTTTATGTGGCCGATCTCTAGTACTACGTCTCCTTCACCGCCTTAACTACCATCATTGTGTTGCCTGTCGTAGCTCACACGCAGCAATTCACTCCTGCACTCGTTCTACATCTAAGCCTTCAACCTTATAATCAATCAATATCACTTCCATCTCATACATCTCATGCAGAACAAAACACCCCACACCCAAGAACCCGCCAGACCACCACTTCCTCCTCCTCCACCCCCAGAACCATATCTAAACCAGAAAACCCCCACCCACCCCACTACTCCCCTTCAGCCAGAACAACAAACCCCTCCGACCCCCACCCACCTTCCCAATATACTACTTCTTCTACGGAACCCTAACCTCCCCAACGCAAGTTGCACGCATCCTTGATCTACCCGAGGAGCCACGCCTCCGCAAAGCAGAAGTAACAGGCTACGCCATTGCTAAATGGGGCGATTACCCCGCCCTTATCACTGGGAACGAAGGACAAGTGGTATCGGGCTCTGCGTACCTAGTCAAGTCCGAGGAAGAGGCAGAGAAACTAGCACGTTATGAGACGAATGCGTATGAAGCCGTGGATTGTTTGATCTTCTTCACAGATGAGGAGCAGCCGGACGAGGCTGAGGGGAAGGTGTTTGTGTATGCGGGGGATGCGCAGGCGCTGGTTGAGAGGCGGTTTGATCGGGTGCTTTGGGGGAGGCAGATGGGTGGGAGGGTAGGGTTGTGATTTAATAGTCTTCGTTTGGTGGTTTGGATGTTTTCGTTCTTCCTTTGCCGCTTTTCTTCAGAGCGATGTCCCCTACACACCTACTTGATTTAACTATACATCTACAGCAAAACCATCCCCAACCCCGCCACAACACCCGTAACAACATACACACCCACTTGCCACGCCCCAACACTAACCATCATCACACTTCCCCTTCCCAAACCCGCACTCCCTACCGACCCAACAGCACTCACACCCGCCGTTCCACTCGCACTTCCACTTCCCGCCGCTGTCGCCGACGGCTTACTCGTAACCGTCCCCGTCCCCTCCGTCCCAGCCTCCTTCATCAGCGCGCTACACGTCCCCGTCGCCTTGACAGTACTAGTCGTGGTCGCAGACCCCCCAAACCCACACGCATTCGCCTTCTTCCCCTGCTCCGTCCAATACTTATCGAGGACGAAATTCAATTGCTCCTTTGCGCCGCACATGCTATACGCGCCATACTTACCCGTGGTACCGTTATGCAAGATGCCATCGCAGGAGGTCATTCCGCACACAGTGCTGAATAGGTCTGCGTAGTCGCTGGATGAGACTGAGTCTTTGACCACGCATCCGGAGGCATTCTCCATGCAGGTGCAGAGTTGTTCGTTGGGGGCTGGGGGGAGTGGAGAAGATGTGGCCAGCCAGGATTTAGAGGATACAGCTGGGCAGGACTCCAGGGCGGTGTTGGTGGGCGTGTAGGATGCTTTGTTTGTGCCGGTGGGTGTGGCGCTGGCCATTTGGGAGGAGTAGTAGGTGAAGTCGGCGAGTTTGGAGACGCTGGTGCTGTCGATGGCGGAGACGAGGCCTATCCATGTGATTAGTTAACGGTGCTTTGGTTGTTGCAGTGAACAAGGGCAATGGAAGGGGAGAGGGTTACCGTAATCATTATCCGTCTGGAAGTACATATACACAATACCACCGGACCAAACATCGTTCATCTTCTCCCCAAACAGCGTCTTGATCTCCGTGAACTTCCTCGGCTGGACCTCATTACATCCATACTCGGAGAAGAACACCGGGACGGAGTAATTCCTAAACTCTTCCGTCCGCTTATCAAACCCGGACTTGGTATAACTCGACTCCCCGCACCAGGAGTAGATGTTATATCCCCAGAAGTCGATACTCTCGTCCTCACTCCCACAGTTAAAGTAATCCGCCATATTGTCCCGAATGTCGGAGTCATCGTTAGTCGCATACCCAACACCAATGGACCGGTATCCTTGGCTCTTGATGTAGGCTTTCGTATCCCGGACGGCGGCTTTGACGAAGGCGCTGGCATCCGTGGTAGCGACGTCATTAGAGACTTCGTTGCCGGCGAAAAAGCCCAATGTGTTGTTGTATTGGATGAGCTCGTCTATGACGTTCGTGTAGCGCGTGTACAGGCTGGTTTCCCAGGCCGGGTCGGAGCGGTCGATGGATTGGGTTGGGTTTGACAGGTCCGAGATCACGTAGATGCCGGCGGCGGCGAGCAGGTTCATGCATGTGCTGTGGTCTTTGGTGGGGTCGATGGCGTAGACGCGAATTACGTTGGTGTTGAGTTCTTGCAGGATGGGGACGTCGCGTTTGCAGAGGGTGGGGTTGGCGAGGGGGTCGGTGTAGCTGGAGGATGAGTTGCCGGTGTAGTCCTCTAGGAGAATATGTTAGATACTGTAGTTGGGGGGTGATGGTTGGAGGTACGTGCCTTGGTAGGCGACACCGCGGATGTAGCTGGTATGGTTAGTTTGAATGAGTAGGGTCTATGGGTAATGGGAGAGTACAATTGGGTGTTGTTGCTGCTGTAGAAGAATTTGGAACCCTGGACTGTCGTTAGCTAGGATCAACATCTCAGGCTGGGCTGAGCTGGTTTACCTTGATGACGATAGGATCAATATCCACTGCAAGAGCAGAGCCCATCAGGGCTGCTCCAACAGCCAGAGACAGTTTCATGGTAACGAACAAACAAAATGGATGTATAAAAGAGCGACTGATATCAAACGAGCGACTATAATGACGGAGTTCCAAACTCAAACACCCCCGGGCTTTCACCAGACATTTAAACAGCAGCCTTTTCTTCTCCTCTGTCCACCCACAACTCAATCACACCGTAACCGACGCCCCTGCCATGACCTTTGCGACACGCCAAGATCAAGCCAAGTATAGCTGCCTGAAAAGTCCAATATTGAGCCAAGCAAACAAGACCTATACGGTGAGTGTGAGTGGCTATTGGGTGGGACGTTATCCCAAAACATGGTGTAGTGGCGGATAGCGTCTTGGTGAAGTGGATGCTTATCTCCGGATAGAGGCAAGCAGTGGGTCGGAGTCGAGGACCGGATAAACTATATGTACGGCCAAGACCTCGCCTGTTGGTCGGTCAGAGAATAATGAGCGTGCCAAGAGTGGCGGAAGCTGCCAGGGCGTTGTTTATTTGTCCGGAAGCGAGAAGAGTCTTGGGAGGTCGATACAGTCAAGTAGTTGTCGATCAGTGCGAACTGTAGTTAGGTTTCATTGCGAACACCGCATGAAGAGTATGTGATAAGATAGCAGGTAACATTCCAGAAGCATACCCAGTAAAGTAATATACACGCTCAATCAAACCAAATCATATCCATGTCCATATCCATATGTCGTCCAGCGCCGAATCCAAACGTAATCACAAGAATCAAACATCATTCGCAGTATATTCACACGCCATGTCGCATCTTACATGGCCTCACGACGACGTCGCTCGATGGCTGCCTCGAACGATCGAATGGTGTCCAGCGGCCGCTCAAATCGGTAACGGGTAGGGTTGGACAAGTCGGGTTCAGCTGCAGAGACATGCAAGTTAGCTGGCATATCCTTATCTCTTTCAATGATGAGATGGCGATGTGATAAACGTACTGATGACTTTGCCCTCGCGGTCGCGATGCTGCATTGAGCGTAGAGAGAATCCACTCGATCCAACGCTGTACACTGTTTACCATATTAGCAAGAGATCAGACAAGCCACTGCTATATTCACATACCAGCCTCTTCACCTCTCAACGCCTGGTTCGGGTCCGACTTGCTGGACAGGGAACTCTTGCCAGCCGAGTGACCCGTCTCGGGCCGGTCAGGGTTAACCGGGGGAGCAGGAGGAGCAGCAGCAGACATTGTGATGTGATAGGATAGGAATGAATCTTTTTCTCGTGTTGGTAGATGGCTAAAACCTTGGCCAGAGAAGAAGGAACCACGGATAAGATATAAGAAAGAATCTAGGTAGAGATGACAGATGGAAAAGGTGGAGTGAGTCGGAAGTGGTGGGAAGACACATGCCAGACGGGGCCTATAAATGCAAGAAGCAGCCCAGCTGCATGAAAAATGTCAGCATGGGCGACTGAGTTTGGAAGCTGACCTGCAGCATCACGCAAGACCGGCCAATGATGGGCATGAGGTTGCGAGCCTTGTTGCCTTTCCAGCCGGGTCTGTGACGCGGCCGCCCGGGCTGGGATGGAAGGATGAGCGGAGGGGGAGGCAATGGAAGCAGGTCCGTGACGTTAGCAGGCCCGCACCCTCCTCTGAGGTAATCGAGAGATATTATTGGTGTAATAGCCTGCCAAGCTTCCACTACTGCACAAAACCCAAGGCTTATCCGGGGTTTCGGCCAATAGAAGTGTCTAATCCCCTGGCCGCAAAAAAGATGGGCCGCGCAATCACGGGGGCTGAGGCCGTGGCAATTGCTATTCTAGGCAGCCAGATTTGCATCCGCGATTGGCTCCAACGTTGCTGTTCCTGGCAGGTCCAAATGGGTGATGACGCTTTGAGTCCGCACATCATCAGGGGCCGCCCCAAATTCTGTCAGGGTCTCGCTCGATCCGGCATGCCCGTGCCTGATGCAGTGTTTCATCCTCTGGAATGTACGCAAAGGTCGTTGTTGCGGTTGCCAAGCCCACAGGTCTAGAACCACGACTCGGTCGAAATAGGGTCGATCTGTACGTAGTAATGAATCACAGTAGGTATGAGATGCTCTGTCAGTGAGTTGTCTGTCTCTCTCCACTGCACTCCAACCGCTCTTGGCGGCCCATCATTGCCGGATGACACTAACACACGGCACATCGCCTGGAATTACTCATAGCCACCTTGTCATGGTGACATCTGAAACACGGTCGCGCCTGTTGATCCGCGAGTCCCGCTAAACGAT